AGCTAAGCAAGAGCAAGCGGCCCGCCGATTCTGGGGCAAAGATTTGGGATGTCTGCCAACGCGGGGGAGTGAGCGGATCGCTTGAAGTGCCTCTACTGTCGCTCTCAACATTCTTGATCTTGGGATCCGAATGAGCCTTTATTGTTTTTTGTTTGCAAACGATTTGATTGTTTGTTGAACCAGGGGGTCATCGATTGCTTGAAATTTTGCACTCAGAGAACATATGTTTGCTGTGCGAGAGAGGAGTTGAACCATGTTGGGGGCGGGAGTTCAAAAACCAAACTTTTTATGTACCGCTGGGTTCCAGTACTTACCTTTGCAAAAAATCAACGAGATAAGCAACGAACAAGGTATCACAATCAAACAATATCCAAGCAACATTGTCCTTTTCAGTCTCATAGTGTCGTCTACGTTTTTTATTTGGGAGGGGGGGGGGGGGTGAACGAGGATTCGGTCAACACGTCCCCCATGTATATATATATATATAGCATACCCATGACCAAGATCCCTCACCGATTCCTTCTTCTCAGTTTGTGAGTTGCATGATGTTTGCCAAGAGGATCTTCCCACGTGCGTACCGGCCGACCCATTCTGTCTGCGATCGAGGCGACGCTGGATCGCGAGGACAGACACCCCTGGCGGTGTCGGTAGCCGCGTGTACCCCAAAGGAGGCGGAAGGGATGGGAGTGCCATGGTGGTCAATTGGGTATCACCGTACGTCTAGGAATGATTCGCTTTTCGGCCTACTTTGAGGGACGTTTGACCCTGCCGCGGATTCGAAAGCGCTGTCCCCAAGCTGCATGGACCAAGGACAGACATCAAGCATGAGTAACTCGCCTGCTGGTGGTTGTGCACATTTATCCACAGAAGCCATATATTGAGGCCAAGGTAATGAAGTCTTCATTTCGAACCCTTGCCACTCAGTTTTCTTTGGGGAGGCCTTCCCTGCATCCCTCCCTCTCCCTCCCCTCCAACTCCCTCTGTTAGGCCGTTCTATTTGCCGCTCCGTCGCCTTGTGGCCCCCCGGAGGTGGTGCGCCAAGACACCGATGTCGGGGAGGCGGGCTGAGGGCCTGGCGCGGGCACGGGCTCGAATGGTCGGCCGAACGCCCAGCCCAGGCTCAAACCATGGGTTATTTTTGCCAGGTTTGAAGCAGGTGGTGCGACCGTGCCACCCGGTTCAGTAGCCAGACATTGCGCCATGTTTTTTTTTTTTTCTCATGGCTGGAGGTGTTGGGGATGTCTGGTGCTCTCTGTTAATGTGCACTCCACTACCAGCATAGAGGGATGCCAAATCATCCAAGTGATCTTCCCATGAACATGAAACTACAGCAGAAACAGGGAAACACAGCTGGCCCTCACTCTCATCAAGCAAGGACCCGAGGCCAAACTTGATGCGGGATGAGGCATAGTAGCTTCTATGTTTTTGCGAAAGCATGGCTTGGCCACTTGTATTTTGCATGAGTTCCTGGTGGTTGATGTGGAGGGACATAGGAATCTCCGCAAAACCCTACGAGCCAGGAACTCAAGAGGCGGCTGGAGGTCTACGAAAAGAAACTCTCGGCCAGGGTCTCAGGTCTCAGCCGCGCATCTCCAGAGCCTTGGCTTTGGATGGGCTACGGGGGTTTCTTGCTGCGGTCGTTATTTTGGTTCGGTGTCTGGGGGTAAAGAAATGTAAGACACAGGTGGTTGTTTCCCTTTAACCCGGTGACTTTGTTGATCATGGTAAAGTAATGAGGCCAGTTCTTGCCGCGGTTTTTGTAGACTTGACAAGGTAGGCTCACATGGGCGTGGCTCAACAGTAAAGAGCTATTTACCAAGGTGCCATTTTGGACATTAAGTTTTGAGCCACAGCTACATGTTTGGTTTCTCTCCATCTCTTGGAGCCTTCGGTTCTTTTCCTTCAGCGAGACATTCGGATCAGAGACTAGGTCCCCCAGTAGTGCCCTTTTACCAACTTGTTTTTGGGGAGGGTTCCCCTACTAGAATAGACAACAGAGAAAAACACAAAAACAAGACTACCCTTATTCCGAACTTATTCTAGCCTCTCAGATCTGGAAGGAGAAGTTGGCCGAGAGGTTTCCGGTAGGCCATCCACAGCGAGCACCTCTTTGACGCCACCAGCCTCAAGGAGCGCCTGGAGGCCCACGAAGGGCAGCCCGCGCTCGGCGAGACGGTGAGAAGGGGCGGAGGAGGAAATTCATTCCCTGCGTGGAGGTGAAAGACATGGGGATGCCCAAAGGAAGCCGAAGTTGCCTTTAAGATGGACATCCGCGAAATGTTAGTCAAGAAACTGATCACCACACTTATCATCAAACTGGGGTTGATTAATATGGGGTCAACAATACCAAAGAAAGGCCAAGGGAATTCTCCTTAACGTGACAACTTCTGTTCAAAGTTGTCACGGAGGAGTCCTGCTTTGGTACAACACACAGGGTGATTCCCAGTTCCGCTGCAACATTCTTCAAGCGCCATTGCTAAACAACGAGAGAAAGAACGGGGTGGGTGGGTGGGTGATTGCAGTTTGGCCGTGCAGAGTTTCAATCTCCACAAATCAACATGGATGGGGTTCCCAAAGGAGTTTTCTCCATAAACCTTGGTGGCTCCCAGCCATCCCCTTTAACTTTTGAGCTTTTTTTAGTGTTTAAAGTGGTAGTTTCCATTTAGCCCACTAAAAGTTAGTCACTTTTGGCGGGGGATCCGAAAACGGGCCGCTCGGTTTTTCCAGCGGGTTGGTGAAATTCCGCAAAGCCAACTGGCCGACGCGCCCACTTTCGCGCAGTCCGCGCTGCGGGAGAGCGACCAGCAGATGTCCCGTGCCGACGAGCTCCAGGTGCGAGCGAGCGAAGAGGGGGGCGGGGCTCAGGCGCTAAAGGTGAAACTTTGGTCACTTGGTGGGGTCTGGACCAGTTTGGTGGCAAAGAAAAGTCGGGGTACTTGTGTTGGGACTGTATTGGCCATTGCGAGTGGAGAATCAAAAGAGCTCCAGGACCCTTTCTCGGCCTATGTACTCAAGAAATGAGGCGCGTTTTGCTGATAACTTTGGCGAGTCTGCAAAGCGCGATGGGTTCGGGAGCCTCCAAAATGGTGGCCTCAAAGGCTTCTTTTTCTCACGGGGTCACTGCACAAGTCAGGTGTTGCTTGACGCCTAAACCACGCGGCAACATGTTTGCTCGTGGAGCTGCGTGTCACGCTCTTCTGCAATCCAGACACCAAGTATTGGTCTAGAAGCATCCCACTGACCGCTGACTTCAGGAAACACAAGCACTGGTAAAGTCCTCAGGCCACTGTCGCCTTCCAAAAGAATCACCAAGGTCAGCTGGCAAATCAGCAAACATGAACCCTTGAGGTCCATCCTTGTGCAGATACCCCAAGCCTAAGATTCGACTTCTTTGTGAATGTTTTCATGAGCTTTCGAACTTCGACTTGTATATTTCAGGGAAGACTAAACTATGGAACCGAGTCAGACCATATTATGTAAAAGGCTGACGCTTGCATGCAGCCGACCGCACAGGGGCTGAGGATTTGGGCAGGAGAAGATTTCGTTGGGTTCATGATTGCGGGACTCCGTCACGCACCCGCGCGCGCGTGTTGCTGGCCAAATTGTAGCTGAACTAGGCTCGCGCGGCACGAAGACTCCCGAGCCGGCGATGCTCAGGGTGTTGACCAATGTAGTCCGCGAAGCAATGGAACAAGACTTTAGAGTCAGACATAGAGAATCAGAGTGAGACAGTAGAGAAGTTGGAGGCTAGAGAACAGGGTTAACGAAGAACCGAACAACTGAGACCAACATGCATAGCAGAGTGTTTTTGGACAAGCATAGTGGCAGGATCAAGCAGGCTATACAATTGATGAAGGTAGAGGTTAGAGCTAAGGTTAGTGAAGTTAGAGATTAGAGTTAGCAGCGAGACGTTAGTCGTGTCAACAATCTGCGGCCTGACCCGCCCCCTACCAAGCAATCGCCTTGCCCCTTTCCCAGAGGATGGCATGGCCGCAAAGAGGTAGGCGGATTTTCTGTGCAAATCAACCAGCCTCGCCCAACGGCAATGCCCAATGCGGCGAGGCCCTCCTGAAAGAGGAGCAGGGCCGGCGTGCTTTGCTCTTTGCGCGGCTGGAAGCGGTGGAGGCCAGGGCGGAAGGGGGGGAGGGTGATGGGTGGGGGTGGGTGGGATTGGGGGGGGGGGGTTGGATGGGGGTGGTTCAGTCAGTTCGCGTGCTTTGAAGTGGCCCGGAACACATTGGGCTATTGAACAGCAAGTCGCATCAACTGCGGTAGACTTAGGATACATTTTACATTTTGAAAGCTCACTTGGGCAAGGAGCAACAGTGGCTATGCAACAGCCAGGCACAAGCGTATAGCATACGTGCTGTCATTTCTGTCACATGAGAAAGCCCTCCTACAGTTTTGGATGTGCAGACTTTCATTGCCAAAGTCCAATAAGGTTTCTGGATCTCCCTACCCTGGCGCTGGGTGAAATGGGGTTGCCACGGGCCCGTTCGCACTGAAAAGGCACAAGAGAGACACTTTGCGCCTTCGTTTCGGGCCCACGCTCCAGAGCAATGTCTTCAAGGGATGAAGTCCCCAGCTATTTTAGGCATGGAGCTTATACCAATGATTTATGCAAGGGGAAAAGGCTGCCTCACAAGCTTATGGTGGTGGTATATAGACCATGACCCAGTCCTGGCGAGGAGACGTCCTTTCGAACGGGAGGCAAGTTGGGGCTGCAAAGAATGAAGGGCCGGCTGCAGGCTTCGGTTCAAGATCTCCGCACAAATCAGAAGGACTTCGCCTCTGCCCCGGAGGCACTCGGGAACGCGGCGGATCGGAAGATGGAGGGACGGGGCGGGAGGTTTCGCTTCTTTTTTTGGGATATGACAAGCAGGGTCAGAGTTGTGTTTGCCAAAGTTGTGTGCTTGCTCAAAGGACGGAAGGGATCCAGACAACAAGTCCCTGTGAAATGATCACTCAGATGTGGAAGTCACATACAATACACAGATACC